CCCCCCGCACCCACCCCCCTCTGTGAATGAGCTTACCCCACAGGAAAAATAGGGACTCAGACAGCACAGTAACAACTGACAACCACCCCAGCCCGTAAACAATGAGATCTGAGATAGTAACAGACCCAAAGTTCATAAACACATTCCAAGTGGCTGTTTGATTTGGGTGCCAAGTGCTATGTATGCCTGCACTTTCCACCCAAGATACATCATCTGGCTTTTGGTACCGTTACATACCACGATGGCAAGCACGAGGAAAGTCGAGTTAAAGAATGAGCCAAGCCACTCCACTCCCACCTCCGAAGACACTAGTTCTATAACTCTGCATAAGCTTTGGGAATCAGGTGGCTGACAGACACAAAGGGTGATCTTGTGAGACCAGATTTATTTCTAGATCTGATGGATGCCTCCATGCCATGCTTCGTTTGTAACAGCTACATGCATACCTTCATCATGAAGCTGTGCCCAGGTAGGTTCTCTCTCATGAAGAAAGGATAGGCAAGCCTCAGTCTTTCAAAACCTCTGATGTGTTTGAAGTCCCAAAGCTAGCTATTATTTTAAACCCAAGCTATGTTTTACCCACTCCAGATTTTTTAAAAGCCTTTCCCATATAAAAAACCTGCAGCTGTTTGACTCTCTGAAGAATATATAGGCTGCAAGCATGGGCAAATGAGGATAAACTGCAATGAAAACGCTGCAAGTGTGCAGGGCTTTGGGCTTTTGGAGAGTGGTATTTTTAGGCTGAGGTCTGAAGAATTACTCCAGGACATCAGGCTAGACAGTCAGGGCAACAGAAGGGGAAAATGTCAGCGCGAGAGGCTACAGATAGCTTATGGAGCTGCAAGTGCCCAAATGTGATTCTTTCCAAGCAAATAAATTTGCAGTCTGCATCTGTTCATGGGTTTTCACTGAAGATGAGAAAATCATCTCTCCATATGCAAGATACAACCCAGCACATTAAAAAAAAGGCACAGAGCAGTCTTTTCAGATAAATTAAAGCAATTGGAAAAAAATTATGCTTATGAAACATCATTGAGAGCTTTTGCCTCCCTGGTCTTGCTAAAATTTCTCTGAGAAAGAGACTTAAAAATAAATTTTAAGTGGAGAAAAACATTTGACACAGGGGTGCTGTGGCTCCAGAGTAAGATAACATTATTCACTATTTTAAAGGGATTATAAACTCTCCCTTTCCAAAATACTCTTCAGCAAGCAAACAGCTACTGGAAGATTTTAACTCTGTCCTCATCTACCTTTCAAATACCTGATTTCCTAAGGTCTGAAAATCTTTTCCATTAAAACTACACAGTATAAACCAGTGACAAACTGACAACCTAATTTTTATTTTTCTAAAGCATTCAATAGTGTAGTAAAAGTTTCTTCTTAACATTTATGGCTTTTTTGCTTTTCAGAGAAGAGCCAGAAGTGTCTCTGCGGCGACACCAGGGAGCGGTACAAAGGCATCTTGTGCACAAGCACACTTCAAAGACTGAGACAAACAAAAAGTCAGCGTGGTGCTAAGTGACATCACTAAAAATGAGCACCAACCTGCAGGACAGTCTAGTTTCTGCTGTGGAGGAGTATTAAATCTAAGGATGCCAATGCCAAGCTGTCTTTCCTCAAGAGCATAGTTACAGGCTGGAGAGCCAAGGCTACTTCACCCAGCGTGGTAAAAACCACTGGAACACAAAGAAATACAACAAAATCTGTAAACTAGGAAGACTTTCATAGTTCACAAGTGAATTTAACTTTTTTTTACACTGGTTTCAAAAACGCTGCCTCTTCTGTTATTCCCTGTGCTGCATTTAAATTGGCTTCTCAATTCCTCAATTAAACTCCTTTAAGAAAATTCAGGCACAGTGCTAGCTAGTTAATGGCCTGGTAGTAGAGACCAATTTTGAAAGCTATCTTTGAAACATATTATTCAACTGAGACAAGTCTCATTTTACTATTTTACCGTTACTCAGTTTTCAAAAGGCAGGATAAGGGCGTTAGTATTTTACTACGTGAGAAACAAATGAGATGGAAGCCTTTTGGGACATGGCTTTGGTTTGGTTTCTCCAGAAGATACAGACCCAGCAGGCAAAGTGGGTTTTGTGGTTATTGCACCTTTTGGTCAAATTTGGCTGCCTAGACTTTAGGAACCACAAACCACTCCGCTGGCAAGAAGGGAATGTTTTGAAATAAAATTACCCAAATCATGTGCTTGCATCTCTTTACAGCTGCTTGGAGGGCCTGTAAACACCTCTGCACTGCAGGAGCAAGAGCTTCCCATGCTAATCCAGGGCAGAAGCAGCACTGCCACTGCTCCTGTCTAGGCAACACCAGCAGAGTTCAGTGGCCAAAAAAAATTACACATCTATATGTATCTGTCACAGTCCCCTCTAGTGGCTGGTTCACCAGGAGAGCAGCACTGACTCCTCCAGGTCAGAGGACTAAATCCAAGGTGTAAAACTTCTCAGTAATTCAGACAGGGATGTTCCCAGTCACCAGCACAGAGCAAGTCCCATATGCGCCTCGTCCCATCACTCAGCATGAACGGAAAGGACATGTTCTCTTCTCCATCTCAAACACGGGAGCCTGTCAATCACGGCGTGATCCACAACACAGCTCCTCTCTGGGCTACAGCTGTTTTGTCACGTTTGATGACTTGAGGCACTCAGCAGCGTTTCGGGGGGTAGTCAGGATAAACTCCCAGCACACTGCTCTTCCTCTGCAAAGAGCATAAGCAATCGCTTCTCACCAAGTGCCACATCTTCTGTTCTGCTCTTACACAACCGCTTATTGTTTCTCTGGATATCTGGAGTCGAGTTTTCTGCCCGAGAGCAGAATCATATGGGAACTTGCAAACATCCTTCTCCATCCTGGCAGAGACACTTGAAGACACTGTAAGTGCAGCTCACCCCAACCTGTCTTCCTTCACAGTAAATCTGACATCGCACACGACTCCACAGTGGCTCTCTATCCCCTTGAGACAAAGGCTCTGCAGGAGCACTATTCCCCTTCTGTCGAAGCTAAGCGTATGTATTAATCCATCTATATTCACAGGAGGGGTTTATAAGCCATCTAGATCACGCTACTCTATAGCTGTAGTTACATTTTAGACAGCAAAAGCAATAAGCAAGCCTTCAAAAAGTTGTTGCAGCAGCATATCATTTTAGCAGAACCTTTTGATGCCGGTCAGAAGTATTGTTTAATGCATACTTTCAGGGCAGTAGTCTTTCAAGAAAGACAGACTGTTGGCTGAATAGAGATTCTGTAAAATTAATTTGCAGCTTGGCATTTCGCACACAAAGTAAGGTCAGTAAAACCCGCTCGTACACGCCAGTGAGGACAGCCATTCACTGCTTTTCAGATGGAACACAAAGTCTGGAGGAGCAGGGAGCAAGGGCTCACCTAGCAAGGGCGGGAGGGAAGCTCACGGATGGAGCAGCACAACTGCCTCTTTCTATTCGCACCAATAACTCCGCGCATGGACAGCACACATCCACTGAGAAGGTGGCAGAACTACGGCAGGGTAGACACTGCTACTGTTGTACCAGTCAACTTCTCCTGTGAACAACCCCTAAGAATAATTTTCTAGATAAATTAGGCTCACAACACGAAGAAGGGAAGCTTTAGACAAACCCACTGCTGCACGTGGCATGGCTGAATCCTGCTGCCAAGGCAGGGGTACAGCTGCACTGTCTTCTACCTGCTGTTTTGTTGAACTAAGTTACTTAAAATTCAGAACAAAATAACTTAGAAACTGTGTGAAGATGGCACTGACACTGAAACGCAGCAGGCCAGTAGTGAGGAACGGGCAGCTCTGAAGAATTAAAAGATTGACATTGCTTAGAGAGCAACTCTGAAGGGTTGGCCTAGCCTGATGCACCTCAGGCTACGGGGCAGCTGCGCACCTTGCTCAGGGCCCTGAGGGCTTTAAAAGAAGTCACCAAAAAAACGTATTGAGCAAGAGTCAGAAACCACTTTTACTGACGTTCGCCAAGTCTTATTCTTGAGTAGTTTAAGTCTGTCGAGTTGCATTGGAAGTATTCCCGATGAGCCAAGGAGACACACGGACTCAATTACCCAACGCAGAGATACCAAGAGAGCAAAAATACGTTAACCAGGGCCTGACTGTTCCCAGGACACTGCTGAGGCTCAACACCGAGCCAGCTGATGCCTTAAAGTGCACTGAAGGGCACAGGAGGAGTCTTCAAAGTTTATTCTTAGTGGCATGTTTCTGCAACAATACCTGTAGACGTTTGCTCCTTGGCATTTAGCGTCAGGAGGCACAAAACTCTCATGGGAAAACAACGGCAAGAGGACAAGGTTACTGAGATGCATCTCTAAATACAGGGCATGAACTTGTGTTGCTCCTGGTAAACATGCTACCTATTGGAAAACTGTTATATTTAATAGTAGGCTAATGATCTTTAATGCATTTTAGTTAAGACAGGTCATTCCCATTTAAGGTGACCTTCCCACAGGTCTGGAGCAACATCAATTTGAGAGACATGTTTTTATTGAAAAGATGGCTGGTACCAGTTTTGTTGTTACTGTGAGTTTTCTGTTTGTTCTTTACACAGACACAAGCAGGTTGTCATTCTAAAAGTCTTCACATACAAGGCCTGTTTGTCTTCACTAGTATTTTACTGAAAATCCTCCAGGCTTCAAGCAAGGGGTCAAATCGTGCAGCAGGACAGTAATGCCACAGTCTTCCTTCTTCCATATCACCATCTCAATTAACAAATCAAGTAAAGGTAACATAAGCATAATACATTCCATCGTATAATATCTAAAACTACATGGTCTATGCAACAGTAGCTTCTGCTTTTTGATAAGCTTACGTTTTAAATTATCTAGATATTAAATTGTACTTAAATTCATTAAAATAAAATTTAAAAAGCAAACATATTACAGAATTTGCTAGTTGTTTCAACAGAATTGAAAAATGTGTTTTGCTTAGTCTTGCCTTAATTTAACTAGTGATAATTTAATTTTAATTTGTACCATCTTACCTCAATCAATTTGTTGGCATGTTCACGGAAAACCTGGGCATATTCTTTAACTTCTTTTTCGTTCCCATTCTTGGCAGCTTCAATCAATACTAGAAGGGGAACATTTGTTTCCAGAAAAGAGTCTGATACATGGTCCATAACAGCTTTGCGGAGCTAAAATAAAAGAATGAGGTATTTCTCAGTAGTGTTCCACTGCTGTGTTCCTTTTACTGTATTAATACATAAAGCTTAAGTACTTTAGTCGTTGATCCTTTTTCCTTTATGTGGTCAAGGCTTTCCATGCTCTAAGTCTCGTCTATACACTTTTTCCTTCCATTTAAATTAAATCTCCTTAAAAAACTGGATTAGTTATGTAAGTGCAAGTCACCAGTTTGGCCACAAATATTGATTTAGCAGCTCACATTGGTTTTGTCTGAGTAAATTTGCTGCTTTCCCTCAGCTGACTGAACAGCATGCTGATTTAGCTTTAGTATTTTTCTACTAGAATAAAAACATTTTTCAAACAACTTGATCCATATTCACGTTTACTTGAAAAGGGGAATACATTGCTCTAAAAACCAAACACACAAAAGACATGTTACATAAATACCGTCGTCAAAGAAAATAAGCTCTCCGAGATGAATACCATCGGAATTATAAAGCGTACCTGATTATGTTCAAAACCCTAAAATGTGAGGTCTGGGGGGTTCTTCATTTGGGTTTTTGTTTGTTTGAAATCCCTCTTGCCACAACGATGTTTAAGAATCCAACATCTTTATTACTCAGTTAACACATTTCCACCCCACGCTTCCCAGTGAACCAGGTGCTGGAAGCTTCTAGCTATTAATTCACTAGATACAAGCAGGTGAGCCCACTGGAAACAAACCAACCACTAACATCTTTCCAAGAGGGCAACCATGCAGGAATGAACTCATCTGTCTCAACAAGCAACAACTTTATATATTAATTACCTGTCTCCGCAGGTCTCTGGTCTTTTTGGTCATTTTATCAATTGCAGAGTTCAGTGCATCACTTCTTTCTTTGCGGCCAGCCTGAAAAACAAGAGACAAAGAGGTAAGTGAGTCTCAAAGTAAACTCAGCATTATTCAGGTACACAGCCAGCTTCTTCAAAATAACAATAAAGAAAGAATAAAGTGGTTATGAACAGTAGAAGAAAAGTCTCCACCTCCCTGATGAGCACTCTCTTCCTGGCTGGTGTGGGCAGTACAGAACATCTGACATCTTAAGATTTTACCTTCAACAATCGCCAGCTTTCTTTCAGAAGAGGATGGTTTCATAAATCTAGACACCTTTTTGCTCCTTAGCAGCTGGAGATCAGATTCAACCTCTGAGTTTTAGATTTCTCTTTTCTGCCAGTCAGCCAAGCATCCACAGCTGGCACTGCATCGAGCCCGGGACAGACCTGATTCAGCCCTCAACCTCCTCCCACCTCAGCTCCAGCCATCAGCAAGGCCAGTGGGTTGCTCACATCTCACACTGCCTTCCACCTGCGGGTCCGAGCACCACACCAGCAGCCCACCAGGCTGTGCATCCAACACCTCCGTGCTCCCTTACACACCTCTAAGCTCCCTTACACACCTCCGTGCTCCCTTACACACCTCCGTACCCAGCTATCACAGAAGGCTGCTATTGAGCAGGCAGCCAAAAATCAATTACCTTAAAGGTAAAACCGTTATAAACCATTTGTCGAGGATGAGATCCAACATTTCAAGTAAGTATCCAGGCCCACCCGTGGAGCGCTGGATATCGCCAAGGTTTGATGCAGCAAGTTTCACATTAGCCCTGTTGTTAGAGAGGGCAAGGGGCCCAGGAGCAGTAGCAGCTTCTCTCCTTTTAAGCAGGCACTGCGTCAAAAATATCCTAATTTGTATCAAATTGGGAGTGTTAGATACAACAGTGGCGGTGGTCTGGGTTTGCTGGGAGTTTTTTCTGTATAATACAGCTTCTATTAGAGTTTTGAAACACACTTTATGCAACCACAATCCAATTTCTGAAGTTCTAAGCTACGATCAATGTAATTATCCTGTTGAGAAGAAAAACCATTTAGCAGCACTAAAGTGAGGGTATGCCAGTTAACAATTCTCCAGGTGACAGGCTGCTCTGAAATACCTGGGTGGGCAGCCTTGTATCTAAACCACCGAGTCCACTCTACACCAGGAATAAAAATTAAAATCAGGGGGGGAAAAAATTAGGATGTTGTAAATGTCATTACAGTTTAACGAATTATTGAAGATTTGTCACCTCCCTGATCAAGTAATTTGATTCTCCTCACAAAAGGTAGCTGAAAAGTGACTGAAATTACAACCAGGAGCTCATTCCGATGACACCACAGCCTTTGGCAGACCCAGCGTCGGCCCGTTCCTCGCTCCACGTTCAAAAATCAAAGCCAAAGTCTCCAAATAAAGTGAAGATGAAAATGCTAATTTATCGAACAGTTTGCTGCTGCTGTGCTCGGTGGGCACAAAACCCCAAGGCAGTTAGGCCAGAAAGCCCCTGCGGAGCACTCTCTCCCAAGCCGCAGCTCCGAGCGCGCTGGGGGCAGCGGGTGCTGCCTGCACCCCGACGCGAGTGATCCGCCCGCAAGTCTGAAACCTGCCAACTGGCACCGCACAAACGAAAAGCCTCTCTGCGACATAAACCTGCAGCTGCTTGCTTCTTCTGATGCTTCCACGCCAGTTTACCTACTGCAACACGAGCGTTCCACCGAATCCCCGGCACCCCGCAGTACACGTGGGCAGTTTTTTCCAGAAATATCTTTGGATCCAACATGTATACTCATCTATTATGTAGAAAGCCAAACATTCAGCTATTCCAAGAAGCACTACTTTGCTTCTCCCTGGGTGCTCCTACATTACCATGTTAACGGGAAGTAGGAGCAGGCTTTTGATGCGAGTCCACCCATCGCTTCCACTTTGCCGTTCCTGGCTTCACAGCCCAGAACAGCCTCGGTGCACGAGGACCAGATGCCTTTCAGATGAGAGAAAAACCAAGAGACGTCTTCTGCTAATGGACACTGAGTCCATGAGACCAGACCGCAGCCAGTCCTACGTTTAGTGCCCTGAGAAGCACGCGATGCATACGTTAGAGGCCAAGCAGCACCAACCTCATACTGTTGATCCGTTCCCATTAAGCCACGCCACATAACAGTGCAGAAAGAGCTGTATAATCTAAACCCATTAGACTTTAGCAGGGAAGCTCCATCTTATTTCCACCTTGTTGGCATTCAGAAATTTTAGTACAGAAGCTCGTCAGAAGTATGAAGAGAATTTCCTTCCGAAGGCTGCAACATCCAACGCCCTGCTCATTCAGCCGTGGTCATTTAACAACTTGGCACACGTAACTACTAACCCCGCTCCTTCCTCAGGGCTGGTGCAGCGGGGCACAACAGGACAAACACCACGCACGCCCGCATCTCTGTGGCTACAGAGACCCTGTTGTCATTAACTTCCTAAATCATAGAATCACAGAATGGTTTGGGTTGGAAAGGACCTTGAAGAGCATCTAGTTCCAACCCCCCTGCCATGGGCAGGGACACCTTCCACTAGACCAGGCTACATCACAGCCAATCCTAACCAAATTCCCGGCCCGGAGACAGGATAGCAAGTTTGCCCACCTGGTTTCCTGACCTTTTTTGCATAAAATGAAACATAAAACCCCACCTGTGGGACCAATTACACCCCATTATGTCCGCGGGAAGGCAGCTAGTGGGACAGTGGTTGCTGGAGCACGTGAAGAGCCAAGAGCCTGCGACTGCACAAACTCTCCAGAACACATACACACACTAAAGATGATGCCTGACCACAACGGTCACTTTGTCCAGGCTCCCACACAACCAGGAATTTTCACTCCAAGGCTCAACAAGTCTGTCTCAAGTAATAAATCATGTTCTAAAGGCTCCAAGTGACAGTTTACCACCCCTGCATAACTTATTCCAGTAACGAATTGCTATTAAAAACTTGGTCCTTGTTTCTAGTCTAAACTTCCACTGACAAGCCATGCAATGACCCAGCAGCACAACACATCCCAGCTATCGGCTCCTCTTATCCACGGGATTAGGACTCACAATAGCGAAGCCTGAATATTCAGATTACTAATAGGATTTTAGCTATTCAGCACAAAACTCTGCTAAGGGAATCCCAAGCTCTGCAGTCAGTAAGCAGATAATAGATTCAGTATATTTAATAGGGTCATACTGACCAGCTGAGTCCTTTGGCAGCACAGTATCACAGCTCTGTCCAGTATCATGGATAATAAATTTAGCCACTGTCGAAATTTACTTTAAATTAAATAGATCTTTATCAAAGAGGCTAGAATCGCTGTTAAAATTGCTCTTTTTCCCCTGCTCCCCGTAATCTGCTCTTCCACCAGCATCGCTCCCCTGCTTGGGAAGCAATACAAGCAGTCACTGTCGCATCCCTGCTGTTCCGGCTCACACAGCTATCCCCACTAGGGCTTGGTTTAATGGCTTAAAGCAAAGAAAGGGGATTTGTATACAGGGAGGCAAGTGGAATCACCATCTCTGTCACAAAGCATTCCCTTTGCAGGCCTGCCATCTGAATTAAAACAACTGAAAAAAACTGAACTGAGGTTTTCCTGCAGCTACTGATGTTAAAATCTAACCCCAAGTGATTTATCAAGGGAACCCAGCACAGTGCTGGTAGTGCAGGAATGGTCTCCTAAAGCCCCCAGGATCAGCAGCGCGTGTATTGCAGCAAGTTACTCACACCACCATGTTTTTATAGCTAAACATCAAAAACTTCCATTGTTAATCTCAATGACTCAGTTTAGGTTAAGCTAAGACCACAGAGCTACTGAGAGAAACAGTGCCTCCTGCCCGGCACCAGCCCTCACAGCGCTCCCACCAAAGAGCACAGCACCCCTCCTCCCCAGATGTGAGCCAGATGTGCCACCGCTGCATGACTGAGAGCCACCACCGCCCTGCCTACCACCCACCATGCAATTACCCGGGAAAGATGGTTCGCAGAGAGGTTTCTGCTTCTGGTAATCTACGAACTGTTTTCTGAGCTGTTTGTACAACAGGCAGCATCGTGGTTAATGATGGTGATTTAAGAAGTGAAAAATTAGCGTTGGGCATGCCTTCCTCTGGGCAGGCAGTTGTACGTCAGTGTGCCACTGCTGAGCCATGCTTCGTGGGGAGGCAGGAGATTTAATGCTCAGGTTCGGTTTGTCACATGCTTCATTTTTGCCTTGACACCTAGCCTAATTGCATGTCTACAAAGGATAACCATCTGTACTCCTCCATTACCATGATATTAGGGCTGCAAACAAGTTCCAGATATAGCAGTGCTGATTCAAGACCAGGAAGGGTAAGCAGCAATGTATGACACATGAATTTCGGCAGTGCTTTCACATCTGTGGTCTGCTGGACTCTCTGCTGGCTTGCTGCAGGAAGGAGTCTCCCATGGCAAGCTCCCAGCTCACCAAAGCCCCGGGGCTGCATGGCATCTGCCAGGGTTCAGCAAGAACCTGACTCAGAATAAAGCTGCCTGCACACCTTGCTGGTCTGGGCTGCTCTCGCCCGACATCCTTCCCCACCGCTGGACTGCAGCCACGCTCCCAGCAACACCAGTGGAGAGGGGAAGGCCAGCTCCTGCACTTGCGCAGGGGCAAAGAGCAATCAAAATGTGGGACCAGTACCACGTACAGAGAGCTTTCAGACAGGGAGGTGACAGTCACCATGCTATGCCCCAGCACACGTGTGTCCTTTGCTCCCAGGAAGACAACGACACCCCACCTAGAGTGCCCTGCCCCCCCGCTCCCACAGCCCTTGCCCGAAGGATCTCTGCGGCTAGCCTGGACACGTCCCTTGACCATCCATCGTCGTAGGCATGCTGCCTTCTTGTGCGCCCAATTCTCGGGGCTCACCGCCAGAGCCGCTCCACAGCAGCACATCCGAGTGACAGTACGCACATGGTCGTGCTCGTCTCCCTCGCCTGACAGCCCTACTGACACAGCATGAGGCTATCTTTTAGCAAAAAAGGCAGCAAATACCGCCGTGATTCCCGACGTGCCAACGTCCAGCAAAAATCAACACAATCATTTCCTCAGGCAGAAGGGTGAGCTGTCTGCTTGCATGGAGCCACACACGTGGCTGCAATTCCTAGGTGCCCCAGCCTCGCCTGCAACGCCAGGACTTGCCATACGCCGAGCCTAAGGCACAAGAAAGTCACACAGCCCACATCTACATCAAGTAAAATTAGCTTATTTGTTGTTCTTAATCCACTAGGAAGGCTTCCACAAGATGTCAGCCTAACTAAATGACAACACTACCCTCGGGGTGCAATTCTACTTCTCCAGCGCACGCGTTTAGTGGGAAAACCAGTTCCTTTGCTGCTTGAGGAGTGGGGTAAGAGAGAAGCCCCCGAGGTGGTGTTCACTCCTAGCAACCTTACTCCCAAGGCAGACATGCCATTTTCCATCTGTGTTGCACGTAACAATTTGGGGCATTACTTTGAAGAGCCCTTTCTGGAGGAAGGCCCCAGATGGCACTCACGTGTAGGTCTCCTTGGCATGTGAGCAAGCTTTCAGTCTCAGGAGAAACACAGTTGCCTGAGTTTTGCAGACTGCTGGGGTTTATCCCCAGCCCATTACACCTCGACACCCCAGGCAGCTCCCCAGGAACAAGGTGAGCATTACTGCAGAGCTCCAGACTTAAAAGAATCAGACGCACGCTTTCGGTAATATCTGTTAATTCATGACTAGTGCACATAAAAACATGTTTCGCTAAGAAAATCGCTCATAAAGTTTGTGTTAACAGTTTCCCAAACAGGAAACTCGCTGGCAAGGTGCTAAATAGCCCTTGTTTGGTTACGGGCCAAAGAATGGAGAGCTTTAGAAAGGAAGCGACTTACCGTGTTTGAACATTAACTCTTAACTCTGTGCCAAATTACACAATCTTAATGTGGGAGGAACCTACCAACAGATACCGATGCAAAAAAGCAAAATGTTTCCAAAGATACCTAAATTCAGCCTCCTGGTAATAGCGGAAAGAGGTAGCACAGGGGAGGAGTAACATCTGACCTTATAGCCATCACCATTTTATTAACTCCACCCTTTGGAATGTTGCTTTTAAATGTTATGTTATCCTATCTAAATGCTGTTAAAATTCCAATCAGCACTTCAAATCAGAATTTGGCACCAGAGGAGCTGCTGTGGGAAGCGTAACCACAGGTACTTGGGTGCAGTAGTGCTGTCAGACAGCTGGCAACCGACAGCTAAGGCTGGGCTTCAGCACTTGGTGAACACTACAAGTGAAGAAACTCCATCAATAGGTTTATGTAATTGCTTTGCATGTATTTCACATTCACTCTAGAGCGAAAGAAAATATTTTTAAGGCAGAGCAACTGAAGAAATTTAATTAGCAGTTCCTAGTTGTCTTTATCATTAGCTACTTCCTGATGGGTTAGGGTGTGTTTTTTTGTTTTGCTTTGGTTTTTGAGTGGGTTTGAGGTTTTCTTTTTGCTTGTTTTTTAAGAGTTCACCTTCTCCATCCCTTTACTTTCCACTTAGCACTTCTCGTCAGTCGGGATGGGACAACCCATCACAGAAAGGAAGTAACACAGTCAGTATTACAATTACAACGCAGCAAAGGGAGAAGCATGCAGAAAACAGCAAGTCTCAGTTTAAATAAGTACCTCTAAGGAACCAAAGCACATAATACTAAAGGTAAATGGCCATTTTATTTTTAAATCTTCTTATGACACAATCCATCATCTTCCTCCATCAGCCTGGGAAGTTTGTTAGTCTCAGCTCATCCCAAATCCTGAGGTTGTGATACCTTGCCGTGACAGAGCCAATGCTTTCAAGTACCTTCTACTGCATTATTGCTTTATCTCTCAAGGTGAACATAAAAAAGCTTATCCGAGTTGCTGGGAGCGGGTTGGAGTGGGAAGCTAACGCCCCCCTGCCTCAACCACATCAAGCCAAGGCCAGAGCCACTGCTCCACAGGCTTTCCGGCACATACACACAAAAACCTTAAAACCACAGAAAAATCAACTCTGTTCCCTTTACCTTTCAGCAGCAACTGTCCCAGAGGAGAGTTTGCTCCAGATAGAAGGGCAATGAAGTTCTAAAACAAGCAGCCATGATGGTGTATCTGCCTCCCCCACCCTGTGCATGCACGCTCCGGCCAGGGACTGGCTCAGCTCTAACAGCACAGAGCTATGCAGGGTCACCCTTTCTGCAAAGGCAAATTTCTGCGACTCTGAAGCACACAGGAGAACCGTTACGGACCCGCCCCGCAGCGCGATGCTCGGGGAAGTCATGTGCCCCCTTTCACGGGGGGCTTATGACACCAGAATGTAATTGGTGACCGCGAGGGAGCCCTCAATCTGCTCTGTGCCCCAACAGTAAATGCCAACCTCACGACTTTTTCTCCTGCACTCCAGTCCCCAGGAAAAAGCAAGTACAAAAGCCACTGTTCGGGGTGAAAAAATAGATTTTCTGGTTTCATAACTGCACGCTGTCAAGCTGGATTCCAATTAAATTTTTCCTGTGCCCCCAATGCAAGCTTTGCTTTTTCCAGAAATTTCTCATCACTCGAAACGGTCGCTCCCAGCCTTCGCTGCGGGGCTGCGCGCTGTACTTTGACACACCGCCTTCATCTACGCGACTGTTCTCTCCCTTTACCGCTTTGGCAGGGACCACAGTCACAGGCAGTTGTTACGCGCAGCTTTAAGCTGCCAAACCCCTCTCACCTCCGCGGGGAGCTGGTGCTAACCAGCATCCTCTCCTCAAACCGCGCATACTTTGCATCTACAAGTTGCTTTTGTGCAGCGATATGTAACAGAAAGCAGGCAGCAGCGAGCGCTAAGGCACTTCCACCCGCAGCTCTGCGCCGCTTTTACCCAGCTGAATGCTGCCAGCGCGGACGTAGGAGGGGGAGCGGCGTGGTGCAAGTCTTCCCGATTCCTTCTATCGTGGGGACGAAGGACTCCTACCACTCATTCCCCCCCCTCCCCTCTATCAGTGGTCTTTAACACAATCACAGTATGCACCACAATGCTTTAAAACAGCAAAGCTTCTGGAAAACCCAAACAAAAGGAACGTCACCAGGTGACGTCAGCCTATATACAGCCCTGTGTGGTCGCAGCGCATAAGCAAATCCATTCTTGTACCGCTTCCCTGAAAAGCTTTTCAGTAAACGCACTCATGCTACTACAGGAGCTTCTCTCAGCAATAAGCCACCCATCTGCCATCAACAAGTTAGGACTAAAGGAAGCCACAGCTGCGGAAAAAGAAAACGTGAGCTTCAATTAAACAGCTGAGCAGCCACAGAGGACGAAAACTTGTATTAAGCATTGATTTAAAAACTGCAGACCTGTCAGAGGCGATCGAGGCAGCGATTTCAAAAGGAATATTCCGAGAGAGCATTGTGGATTCAATTTTGCACTAATATCAAAGGACACTGAACCCAGTAAATTATTCAAGGCTACCTTACGTTAGAGCCTTTTACAGACTCACGGCGTTGAGTCTAAAACTACGACTGAATGCAACCTCCAATGTACTCAAAAGAATGGGTAAGTTCCTGCGTTTCTCTATACCTTGTGTAACGAATGACCGGCTGTGCTTTAAAGGAGCAGTTAGGTGCTAAAGCAAATCTTTCTGCACTGAACCGTATGAAAAAAGCTTATGTTTTCCGATCGTGACACGGTAATCCTCCGTAATAGAGATTAAAGACTCGTCCTAAGTGTAATATCCAAGTATTCTGTGTTTTGTAGTAAGTTGTTTCTTGCATTTAGAATTAGCTTGTCGGAAATGCATGGCAATGTTATCTGCAGTGAAATCTTCCATCGTGATGTTCAAAGTATACTGATAAGGCTATCCTATCTTGTTGTTTTCCTAAATTATATTCTGCAGGCTTACATTTCAAGTGGCCATTAGGGGCTCGTATGCTGGCAGCACTATATGCAATGAGTATGGTTTTAAAAATGCTGCCTGCCTTGGGCATGGCTTGTCCACCAAAATGTCGCTGTGAGAAGCTGCTCTTTTACTGTGACTCTCAGGGGTTTCACTCAGTGCCAAACACCACTGAAAAGGGCTCGCTAGGTTTGTCACTGAGGCACAATTATATTTCTGAACTTGAGAGGGATCAATTTGCAAGCTTCAGTCAACTTACTTGGCTTCACTTAGATCATAATCAAATTGCAACAGTCAGAGAAGATTCTTTTCAAGGACTGTATAAACTTAAGGAATTAGTCTTAAGTTCCAACAAAATCTTTCATTTGCCAAACACAACTTTTAGCCAGCTGCTTAACCTGCAGAATTTGGACCTCTCTTTTAATCAGTTATCCTCTCTGCACCCCGAGCTCTTCTACGGCCTTCGCAAGCTACAGACCTTGCACTTGCGTTCCAACTCCCTGCGGACCATCCCGGTCCGCCTGTTCTGGGACTGTCGTAGCCTGGAGTTCCTGGATTTGAGCACAAACCGCTTGCGAAGTTTGGCTCGCAACGGATTTGCAGGATTAATCAAGCTGAGGGAGCTTCACCTAGAGCACAACCAGCTGACAAAGATTAATTTTGCTCACTTCCTCCGGCTGAGCAGCCTGCACACGCTCTTCTTGCAGTGGAACAAAATTAGCAACTTGACATGCGGGATGGAGTGGACCTGGGGCACCTTAGAAAAGCTCGATTTGACTGGAAACGAAATCAAAGCCATCGACCTCACTGTCTTTGAAACTATGCCTAACCTTAAAACCCTCCTAATGGATAACAACAAGCTCACCACTCTGGATTCCAAGATCCTAAGTTCACTGACATCCCTCACCACCGTGGGCCTCTCTGGCAATCTGTGGGAATGCAGCCCAAAGATCTGCGCCTTGGCCACATGGTTGAGTGGCTTCCAAGGTCGGTGGGAGCACTCCATCCTCTGCCACAGCCCCGACCACACCCAGGGAGAGGATATTCTAGATGCAGTGTATGGTTTTCAGCTTTGCTGGAATTTATCGACTGTTGTTACGCCCGTGGCTACGACGTATGCAGCTCCGACTACCGAGTACACGCAAAGAATAAGCTCTTCTCATTTCCATATGGGAGACAAAGAGATTCCAACTACGGCAGGCATGGTCGTTACCACTGAAGAACAGTTCCCCGAGCCAAACAATGCCATCTTCACTCAGAGGGTAATTACAGGAACAATGGCTTTATTGTTTTCTTTCTTTTTTATCATTTTTATAGTGTTCATCTCCAGGAAGTGCTGCCCTCCCACATTAAGAAGAATTAGGCAGTGCTCAATGATTCAAAACCACAGGCAGCTCCGATCCCAAACGCGGCTGCACATGGCAAATATTTCAGACCAGGGACCCTATAACGAGTACGAACCCACCCACGAAGGACCCTTCATCATCATTAACGGCTACGGACAGTGCAAGTGCCAGCAGCTGCCGTATAAAGAATGTGAAGTATAATGCCTACATGCCATCAAAATTACATCAGATAAGTAACCTATTTTAAAAGTGTAGGGGACCTACATCAGATTCTAATTTTTACAAATGTTGACATAAAGCCTAATTTTCCAAGCTACTTAATGGAAACATTGTTTATGGAGTGGTGCAGTATTTTTTATTTTTAAGTTTTTTAAAAGATAAATCCATAATATTTTCAGTGTTAAAGAAGCAATGATTACATTAAACTTGCACTCCTAATGTTTAAAAGTCTAAAAAGATGCTCACCTCAAACTGCGTAAAGTGTTTCATGTTATGTAATTATATGACTGTGTGTAAGCATTTATACCCAAGTGTCCATATCCTACTTTTTCTAATGAAAGCAGTCCGAGGGGAAGGATACTGGATATCCGCGCAGAGATCTGCAGGGGGACATACGCTCCTGTTTGTTCCACTGCAGCTGTAGGATCCCAAACGCTCCAGCTGGCTCCTTTCACTTTAAAGGCAAGCGTGGAGGAAGATTTTCCTCCTCTCGCCTTTTCACTCGAGTAAAAAAGGGGATGGGGAAACAAAGACCTAGGGCGAGGAAGGTCCAGGTGGGGATTTAAGTGTGTTGGGGAGCAGTGAATTTATTTTAAATAGCTTTCCTATCTGCATTCATAGTTTGGCTTGCTTAAACGGACCTCGCTAAGGCGCACAACAGATGAGAAAGCAGCAGTTCACCGCCTCAAACGAGCAGGACGACTCTCCAGGCGCTCACAAAGTAGGCAGCGCAGCTTAGTTAGGAACGCTGGGTACGACGGGATCGATCCGAAGTATTAAGTGCATTCAATTCTTATCAGCTCTCGGGTTGGACTTGATGATGCTTTTCAGGAGTTCAGGCTAATTACGTGCAACCACAGACGGCATCTCAACACCTTTTCATGTGTAAATACCCTTAGTGCAAGTTTTTCCTTAATTAAAAGTAAAAATCAAACGGCAAGGTTAAGGAGAAGAGGGAAGGAAGGAAGAAGCCTCTCTTTGTCCCCCCGCTGCCCCCCCCCAGCTGAGGCTTCCTCTCGCCTGGAAGCTATTCTCATGCACTAACTCCACTGGTTTCTCTGGAGACAGAATCAGCCCCTGTAATATAAGCTCTCACTTGTCCTCCTCTTCCAAAATTCAAGGTAATTACCAGTTAAAAAAAAAGAAGTACCTTCTGATAAGTTAGGAAAGTAATTAGTTTATAGAATAGTTCACTGAAAAATGTTTTATTTCTTACTTGATACAGGACAGACTCTAAACTAGTATGACATTTTTAAAAAATCATATATAAATATATATACACACACGCACCTCGTTCTTAAGGAGTAATTTCATTTCTTTAGCCAGAAGTACCATATTGCTATTTATACTATATTATGAAATTATATGTAAATATTTGCAGATCTATGCAGCGATGGTGGTACTCGGATGCCATGGGGGTGGGGTGGGGGGGTCTGCAAAGGATTACATTTATTTTTAAGTCAACTGCTCAAATATTGTAAACATTCTAACCAAAGCTAAAAGGACCAGAGGGATGGAAATTTTTTTGATATATATATACATGTATGTATAACTAAAAAATGTGTTGTATCCAATGCTGCAGTGTTAAACAATTACCAGCACACATCGACGAAGAAAAATTCCTCACAGTGTTGACATACCTTGAACAAATCCGTAATTACAGTATGCTAATTGTGTTGTACTAAACTATTCTGCAAACTTTTTAAAGAGGAAAAAAAAATCACTGCATAAAAATCTGTTTGCTATTTCACTCTGCTTTTATCTATCTGTATTACCACTTGGTGAGGTATTTAGGGTGCAATTATACAACATTTTGATGTTTTATTGTGAAATGAATTCGTCCAAGGCAATTATAGCAAGATAAGTGTGACTTCTGTTAAGGTTTTACATAAAGATTTTTCAATTACTGGTTTTGAAGATATTAATTTGCATCATTTTGCTTTTACATACAGTGCCCTTATAAAACAAATATTTTGTTTACTGCCTGTGACTGTACTTCAGTGGAAGAGATTCAGTGAAGCCCAGTGCTTTTCCACAGATACACCTTTGAACCCTTGTAACTGTTTATACTACGATGAACCGATTTACACCTCTTCTAGGAAATCAATTACTGCTTTTAACTGAATACAATAAATCCTGCAGGGCAGGTGGACAAAGAGCAAATATTCTGTCTGACTAAATCCCACGTGAGCCAGAGGGACAGACCTAAGCTGCTAAATCCCAAGGTGTATTGGTATCCAAGGGTATTTAGCTGCTTGGAGAAAGCCTTGCTTCATTCCTTACCGCAAGTAAGTGCTCCCTTACGCCCAGGCTTTTACTCTGCTCTGGGCAGCGTATCACTGTCTCAGCAGCAACCTGCCCCTGCCTGTGCACCTCCCTTACCTCGTGTTAACCGACACGATGGTCTGCACCAGGGGAACTGGAAAGCAGAGCTCTTGGGAATGATTTTCATGTACAGCTGTAGGGTACCAGCAGAGACAAAGTTATAACGGAACTCATTAATTATACTGGCAGCCAAATAATCTTGCTACACTATCATCAACCATCAGGTGTCAATACTGTACTCTGGTGTCCTCAGCCCCATTTGTCAGAATTAATCCCATGGATCTCCTCCACATCCAGCAGAAACCCTTGCTGCAAGGCAGTTCAAGAAGTACCATGTCAGTCTTCCACAGTCATGGGAAGCGGCCGCTTGACTGGAGCGCTGAGGCTTCTCCTGCAGAGGTGCTTTCCCAACACCCCAGCTCTGCACAGAAGCCCGCTCCATCTTTATTAGCCTGTAATTATGCCCAGGAAGAGTGAAGACAGATGTTCCAGCAATGCTGGATTTATTCCTCTTCTCCACCCCAGCCACTCATACTGAATTCCCAAGCATTAAAGCACTGTTCCAGTGTCTCTCAAGGCAAACACACCCAGGCACCCAACTGCTCCCCCACCAGTATCCCCAGTTTCCACCGGTCCTGCAGTGCTGCCCTGGCTTGCAGACAGCAAAGCGGGGGACCAGCAGGCAGCCTAGCACAGCACCAGTCAATTTTACCTTGCCTCTCTGTACTGCACGCTAATACACAGCCAATCTCCCAAATGCCATGGTTTATGTCTGCCATTTCCAAAACCATTTGTTGCCAGGTTCCAGGCGTAAGCAAAGCAATTCCGCAAACATTACAGTTAGGGTAACAGGTATCATAAAACTCGCGGAATGTCAAACACTAGCAGTGAAGTCAACTTGAATTCCCTTAGGAGGGACAGCAAACGGCAGGCAAAGCCATCGCTCTCCACAAGGACACGACGACAGGCTGTTAATTTTTGTATGGGTTTGGTTTCTTTTAAGTTACTGTCTTCCATTCTCAATCGCTTATGACTCTTCCAGGCAAGGAGGGTATTGTAATAATGGCATTACTCAGCAGCCTCTGAATTGTTTTGTTTATGGACCAAGAACCACGATGATTCGGTTTAAATTCCCTGTATGTCAGTGCAAGCACTGGCTGAGGACAGGAGGTTGTTAACTTGCTCTCCCCAAGTACTATCTCTGGTGCACAGCCTCGGTTTCTACAGATAATAAACGGCTTTATAGGTGCTTCACCACCTTGAGGCACAGCCTCATGCAAGCGTTCAGGGCCTTTAGAAATGAAAGTTTCTTCTAGTGCTTGAGACCCTCATCCCATCCAAAGATCTCCACCAGCCTCCCTGACCTCCAGCCAGCTTTTCCTCCTGCCCACCCTCCGTCAGTGAAAGGCAAACCTAACAGCACAAGTTCAGGTTTTGAGTCATCAGGCTGGAACAGGTCTGAATTAATGCTTTCAGTTCCCCTCTCGTTAGTCGCTCCGCATTAGATCATCGTTTAAATGCACACAACTAAAAATTACTCCATAAAGAGTGAAATGGGTTAGCATTTAGTCCCCGGCTGAAGTGTTCCTCTGCACAGAGCTCCCATCTCCTATCAGATGGAAACATAATTAATGCCGCCGTATCAATGTTTGGTTTATGTTTGCTTTTCCCCCAAGCAGAAATATCTGATTTTTCAGCGATAAGCATAGCCCGCATGCAAATCTAAGCATCTGAGCTTATGTCCCATTACACCCCTTAGAAGACAGCGGCCTATTACTAACATATAAAATCAGAACTATCCAGTGGCTTTAAACCAGAAATCTGCACTACACACTTATTTTTTAATGTGCCTAAGTTAATTTCAGTACTACTTTAACGAAAATAAAGTTGATTTAATTTTGTGATCTGCATAGCTATCAAAAATCCATCTGTTCAGACCTATGAAATCTACCCAGAAGCTGAATTTCATCTTTCTTATGAAGTTTTCCATAAAAACTAAAAAGTTCAGAGAGGGATACAGTATTCCTGCTCCCCCCAAATAAGAAAACAACAAAAATCCAAGGCAGTTGTGCAGCAGCAGCAGCTCCTCCTTCCCCCCACCCTTCTCCATTGTGGGTCCTGTACCCTAGAGCTGGTGCCAGGCTTTGCTCCATACACCACCACGCTAGAGGGATGCTTAAAGATCGTTTCAGAGTCATCTGGAAATTCAGCATTGCACATCTCACCTAAAAACCTTTTCAGAGGGACTTAGGGAAAGGTAACAGAAGCTCTGATGGATATCATCAGGCCTCCACGCAGCCTGCACACCCTCGGTGTAAGCAATGAGAAGCTGCACATGCTACCCTTCAACCACTCCTTTGTAAAAAAAACCCAAACAAAACCCACCTCATTTTTCTTTTTACTGCCATGAAAACATTAGTGAGTGAACTATTCTACCAGCTTAGCAAACAGATTAAGAAGGAGTCTTAGATGCATTGTATTTAAATTATGTTTAAAGAGCCACTTTCTGGTGGGAGGGGGCATAAATAATGGAGTAAAACCAAGTGCAGTGTACAGAAAAATTTTGTTATTAAAATTGTGTATACTGTAAAACTGAATTTGCCTCTTTCTTCCTCCCCTTTCAAACAGAGGTGTCAAAAACGCATTCTGTCACAATACGTGAGGAGCGGTGTACGTCCTCTGCTGTTTAAGAGCGCATCAGCGCTACCCAAAGCGGACAAGCCAGGTTTGGGCCACTCCATTCGCCACAGCCATATCAAATGCAGCACTTGCTGTGCCTACAACAAACGAGCTGGTCTGCAGGGGTTCTTCTCAAACAAGATGTCTCTTGACTAGCAAACATCATTTGTATAAGTAAG